CGCGTCCGTGCGGCCCCCGCCCAGCTGACCGAAAGGCCTAAGGGAGCAGCACCGCCCAAAACTGCTGCCTGTGCCTTTAATGCTTTTTTTTGGGGGGGGGGCGATATGTTGTTTTTGTTGCCTACAGGTGCAAAGGCTCAGTGTGATTACTTCAGGCTGCGCTTTGCAGCTCTCGCAGGGGCCGACCTGTATGATTTGGCTGTAATTCTGCCCTCTTCCTGACAAATGGAGAGCTGTAGCCTTTGCTTGCCTAGTGGACGCTTTTGGCCCAAAGAGCTGGAAATCGCCGCTCATCCCGCCGCTGAGCGGGGCTCAGCCAGCGCCTGCGTGGCTCTGGGCGCAGGGGTCCGTGCCGAAAGCAGGTGGCCCACCTGGCTGGTGACCAGGCGATGTCCTCTCCTCGCGGCCTGCGGCCTGCGGGGAGGAGCAGCCCGGTGCGAAACGAGTGGGACAAGGGACGCTAGGAGCCAGCTTGGCAAGGAGGGCTGTCGGAAATGGGAATCTAGGGCCGGGTCCCTGGGGTTAGCCAAGGGGCTAGGACAACAAGCGAGGGGTGAGGGCATCTTCAGGTTGGACAGAAGAAATGGGAGAAGGTGGAGGTTATTTCCCTGGGTTTGTGAGTGTGGCCCACTCTTCCCGAGGTGCCTGTGGCGAAAGTGCTAGTCTGCGAAATGGAGACGAGGACACTCAAGTGTGCACAAGTAGTGAAATTCTAAGAAATACTCAATTTGAATCTGTGGGAACAATCCTCTGTCGCTCTTTCTGTATGCAGTTTGAAGTTTCATAGTAACTCCTACAAGAAACCTGTGTGTGGGCTTTGCAAAGAAGACTAACAAAAGTGTCGAGGCAGGGAAACAAGGTAAAGCTTGATGAATACAACCAGGACTTAAGCTTTGCCCTTTTGAGGGATCAGCGTGCACAGCATGGTGAGTTTTGGGTACTCTCAGGAAGACAGAGCTTTGTTTGAACGTAACCTTCAGTCTTATTGGAAGCCTGGAAACCTTTTAACTAGTCTCTAAAAACTCCCACACAAAGATAGTAATGTAATTGTTTTCTGATGCGACTGTTTCAACATGTGATACACGGAGTGAATCAGAATTTTGTCAACATAAGCTTCTTTGAGAAGGGTGAGCAATTTTCTGGCTAAAAACCCTCCCCCCCCCCCCCCCCCCAAACCTTAATGACTGTAATTATCTGAAATGTGTAGCTCAAACAGTAGCATTTTAAGTGGCATTTTGCTGATAGTTCCCCCATCTACATATGGCCTGGAGGTGCCTCAGTAGTAACTGTAACTGTTAGGAAAACAGAAGGGACAAATGCTTAAAAACAATTCCTTTAAACATGTTCCCCTTCTCTTCCTCTTCCCCATGTTGACAGCGCATGTAATGTAGTGTACCTACAGATATCTGTAGGTAAGTAACACATGGCTCACCTGGAGGAAAACTTGATCTTTACTTAAAGCTGATATTGATTGCTTTTGCTGTCTTATATCGTGCAATAGCTTCTACAACCTTAGCATGGATTTCTGTTGAAGTTTTTGCAGAGAAACACATTTATCAGCAAACACTTCTCATGTGTTTCCTTCTCTTGTTCTGTGAACTGTACTTACAAAGAATGGCCCTAATGTTCAGGAATTATGGCTTAACAGCCATAATATAGGTAGGATTGGTTCCATTTCAGTGGTTCACACCTATAGGGAAGTTGCGGATTATTGTCCCTGGCAGATGCTGGATTGTTTTTCTCATATTCTAAACACTTATATGGTTAGGGGACAAGGGCTACTGGGTGCTGGGTGATTTCATTATGTATCATTGTGTTTCACTTTAGCTGATCGGCAGCTACTCTGAACAGTGTGCTTTTCAGACAGGGTAGTAGTATTGGGCTAAGGAGGATGTTTTTACTTAGGTATGTATGTGGAAGCTTAGTCTTGAAACTGGGAATAATGGTATGATTGAAGGTGTGGGGGGGGAAATGGAGGATGCTCTGCTCTAAACTTCCCCACCCCAAACTTTCTCTTACGTTACACCTTGTAACATAAAAGTTAATGGTTAGTGATAATGTATTCCACTTTCCTTTTTTTAAGTTTAAAAATTAACCATTCCAGGTTATTTACAGTAGCAACAGGACATTTATTCTAGAACAAGCTAGTTTGATACTTGTTCTACAACCATGTTTGAGCTAGTATATAACTGAATATTTAACTCCAGTAGCTCAGGGTTTGGTGACTATCAGCACTGAGGAGTTGGTGGAAAACTTTCCTTATCTCTAATTGTTCTGTTGACAGAACAAGATCCAGAGTAGCTGCAGTGAAGTAGTCCAAGGCAGGAAACGAATTTATTCCTCAGTAGCAAGAGGAGAGGAGTGTGGTAAGCAGGGAGGAAAGTTTGCCCATGTTGGGAGGACAAACGCAGTGTTCCTCTGTTCTTGGAGGGTTTGTATACACAGGTTTTCTGCCAAAGAAAACTTTTATCTGAGAGGTGAACCCCCATGTTCCTTGTGGATAAACCAATGGGTTGGGGATGTGTTGGAGTGAAACTGCAGGAAGAGAGGCTGAATAACCTTTAATGATAGAAGCCTTTTGGTATAATTATTAATAGAACGGTTGTTCCTACTGCTTCAGTAATACTGATTCTTTCTCAAGTTAACTTTAAAATGCACCTCTCCTTTGGAAATGGGCTTTGTTTTTTAAAAAGTGTGTGGAATTTGTTTTGTATTGTGTGGTGTGTCTTTTTTTTACTTGGTTTTAGGAGGGATTTGTCTTTGGCTAAAACTCGATCAGCTTAAAGAAAAATAGTACTGACTGCGAGTTCTACAAACTCAGCTTAAGCAAGTAGTTATACCCACTGGCTTAGGTGAAAAAGCATTTTACTAGACTAAATGAACAGGTGAAATTCAGTGAATTGGAAAAAAATTGCTGTTAAGGCCTTTTTCAGAGTAGACTGGCTAAGTGTGAGGAACTGAATTTGGCTCTGCTGCTTGAGTTACAACAAGACAGCTCTCCTGCATGGCTAGAAATCATTAGAATCCTTGTCTGTGCAAAGCTGGTACACAAGCAAGAGCTTCTCAGCAGTGTTTTCAGTACTTAAATCAGATTTTCACTAAGATTAATCCTGGAGAACACATGTGAGTGTTAGTCAATGATATAGTCTGGAAAGTGCTCTGATATTAGTGATCATGCATCCTTAAATCATGTGCTGGAATGAATAAAAATTGTCTATTTTATTTAATGATCTTGAATAGACTTCTGAAAAGCTAAACAGTTTCCCAATACTCAGGTGTGTCGAGGGGAGGGGAAAATGACTGCAGACAAGGGGGAACAGGCGTATGAACAAAGGAGTAAAAGTAATATGATAACGTATTTACTAAAGGTTAAAACAATACACCTGGGCAGGTGGTATAGGCATATAGCAGATTCCAGTATGGGCTTAAGCACTGGGAGCTTTCTATACTCTACTCTGCAAGTTAAATCATGCACTGTTCACTGGGTTCCAAAGGAAGTGGATGAATGTCCATTCAGTTTGTTCTGATTTGGAGAATTTGCTTCAGTCTGCAATTAGTGACATTTTGGGGGTTAGAACACTTATTGGGAAAGATATGCCTAGGCTTTTGTTTGGACTGTCAATATAGTAGCTGTTTGCTGTCATTTCTGAGTTCTCTCCTCTTTGAGGCTCTCTTTGAGGTCAGTGGAAATGCTGTGTGTGGATGGCTTGCAGAAAGGCAATCACATTTCTTCCATCAGGTAGAGATAATCCGTGTTTATTCAGATTAGCCTCGGACTGAAGTTCAAGTGGCAACAGAACAGCATTGAACAATTTCACAACTGCACAGGACTAAAAATAAAGAAATCGGGATTTTGTAGTAAAAAAAAGTTGAGTACCTTTGTTATGAATAATATCGAATAATATCAAACTGTACACCTGTAATGGCTTAATGATGATGTTTATCCTAGCATTGGCAATGTGTCAACTGTTGTCTTGATTCCTTTGATAGAAAACGAACTGCCTGGCAAGGTTGTCTGGGTGACAGGAGCTTCAAGTGGAATTGGAGAGGAATTGGCTTACCAGCTAGCAAAGACAGGAGCTTTGCTTGCCATCTCAGCGAGAAGAGAGGATGAGCTGGAAAGAGTGAAAAAGAAATGCCTTGGTAAGTATAAGTTACTGCTTCATGCAAGCAGTCACGCTCCTACTGTGCTGGAGTTGGCCCAGAAGTACTAACCCATATATCACAGTAATTAAATTTAATGATAAAAGTAAGCTTTAGAGGTAGCTTCACTGTAGCTTTGCAGCAAGTCATTTCTTCTCTGGAGCAAGAAGCCTTTTTGCAGACTGGCACTACAAGTTCCTTAACACAGCAGTGTTACCTAAAAATCTCAATATAATTGCAAATGGTCTTAAAAGTTACTGAATTGAAAAAGGAACAAATGCAGTGGGGAAAGGGAGGAAACAATTCTGAGGAGTAGCACCCTATTTAGAAACAAACCATGTAGCTGCATGCTGCTCAGGGAGGGGGAAAAAAATCTTCCTTCAGGTTTGTATATATCACAGTCTGACCAACTGCCAAGAACTATCCTTCTTGGAAAAGGAATGAATAGAAGTGTTCAAAAAGTTGTTTTGATCAATTGTAAGGGAGGTGATCTGCAGATCACGAGAGGTCAATATGAAAAGTAGGATATTTAACTATTCCAGTTATCTTTCATTTGCCTGCTGAATCTGGAATATGACTTTGTTCCTCCTGTTCTCCCTGCCCCTCCCTCCCCCAGTATTTTCTGGCTTGACAGGGAGAAGGTTCGACAATTTTTTCATGTTAATAAACAAACTGTTTTTGAGCATGGTTATCATTAGGTCTGGCAGGCTACTTACCCTCCATAGCTGAGTATTCAAAACTACTACAGTGACAATGCACTCCTAGTAATGGCAGTGGAATGTCTGAAGGTTATGTGGAATGGGTGCTAGTGAATATTGATATGTGTCTGGATTAATACCTAAATATTTTTAGAAACCTAAAGTGTAGCAGGGTATTCTGAAAATCTGACGAGGAGTTTTCAAAAATGCACGATTCCTTATTTCCATTTTCTGATGCTTTGAAAAAAATTTAAGTAGGTATTTTCCAAAGGAAGTAGAGGGGCTTAAATTGACAGCATGGTTAAGTGGTGATCGTGGCAGAATTCCAAGGCTGTATGATGCAATGTTTAGTGGTCAGTGAATATATGCAACTTCAGTTGTGTCTGTGGCAGTTTGTTGTCATTACAAAACATTGATAAGACCAAATACGGCAGGAGACATAATTCTGGATGTTCATTTTCAGGCAATGTTTGAGTGCAGTGTACTAAGGAATATTCAGAAAGACTATCTCAACTGATATGAAGCAAGAGCATGAATTTACCTAAGATAATTTCTGCTTTTGCCGATTTGAACTAGCCCCCACCCAATGTCTTATCTATGTTATATACTGGCTTTAACGTCTTATGAAGCAATGCTTTTTTTGCAAAGCTATGCTCTGACCTTTTTTTAGCTATTGGTCAAATTAGTAGGAATGTTGGAAACTCTTCAGTAGCATAATTTTCTTTTATTTGGATATATGACCTAGCCAGTGCTGCTGTGATTCTACCACATCTTTAGCTGATACAAATCAATGTAGCTCTGTAAAACCACGCTTTTGTCCTGCCGAGAGCCCAGGTTAGTATAGGCTTGCTTCTAAAGCTCCTGGGATGAGAGAGTTACAGCAGTGGTTACTTCAGAGTCAGCTCAGGTTGCTCTGGGCCTTGTCCAGATAAGTTTTGAATATTTCTGCGGGTGGAGATTCAACTGCCTCTTTAGATACCTATTCTAGTCTTTTCCCTTACATCTAGTGTGGGTGGTTAAATATATCACATTTGGAATTTCCCCTGCTGCAGCTTGTGCCCCTTGTCATTGCTCTGTGAACCTCAGAAAAGACTGGCTCCATATTTTCCATAGCCAGCCTTTAAGTAGGGGAAGACAGCAATTAGTCCCACTTTCCCTCTTGTCCTTCTTTTCTCAAGGCTAAATAAACTCAACTTTCCAGGCCTTTCCTGGTTTGTCATGTATCCTAGCCCCCTCACCATCTTGGTAGTCTTGCACTGGTCTCTCCAGTTGGTCAGTATCTGTCTTGTACTAGGGGGCCCAAAATTTGACCCAGTACTGTCGCTGCAGTCTTAGAGCACCATGCAGAGACACTTGAGCGATCACTTTTCTCAGTCTGCAGGCTATGCTCTTGCAAATGCAGGCCAGTAGCCTTCAAAAGCAATAGCTCACTACTGATTTGTGTTCGACTTTCTATTGTCCTTCCATCAGGACCTCAGGTTCTTCTCTTTTTTTTTGGCTGATGCCTAGCTGTTCTAACATCAGCTGGTAGTGCTGCATAGTGTTATTCTGTCTGAGGTACAGAGTTTTGCGTTTGACTTTGAGCTTTGAGGTTTGTCAGTCCGTTCTTGCAGCTCATCAAGATGTCTCTGAAAGGCAGTCCTCTCCTACAGCATATCAGCTGCTCCTTTGAACTTGAGGTCATCTGAAAGCTTGCTGAGAGTGCCTTCTATCCCATCATCTGGGTCATTAATGAAGACATGAAAAAATTCCCTCCTTGGAGGGACACTGCTCATAAAGGTCACAAGTTCAATGTTGAAGCATTGACTACTACTGCCAGGGCTCAGGGATCCAGCCAGTTTTTCACGCACACTGTTATTCACTCGTCTAGACCATATTTCCCCATCTCTTTTGGGATGAACAATACTGTTCCCATTGTCAGGAATAATCATGATTGAACAGTTCACCTAAAAACAAAATATCAGGGCTGCCAATACATTGCTCCTCAACAGCTTAATGAAACACTTAGGTATCAAATAATCCTGCTGCATGTTACTCCTAGCCACTGCAATTTATTTGGAGAATGGAATTTCTTGTAGTATGCGGCACAAGCCTTTTTTCATTTAATAAAGTCAAGCTTTTTTGCAAGTAGAAAACATAAGGATGGGAAAAGAAGGGCTTTAGTATGAACAGATTAAAAATGGATTCTGTGTAGGGATCATTTAAAAACAAATCCAAACAGTCTCTTGGTGTCTTAATGAAAAATGTGGGGTGTAAAGGCACATTAAATTTCTCACTATTGTTATAATAGTGATTTTTGTTGGTTCCCATTCACTTTATGGTTGTTTTTAGAGATCAGCAACTTGGTCGAAAAAGATATTCTTGTTCTGCGTCTTGACTTGACTGATAGACGCTCTCATGAAGCTGCAACCAACAGTGTTCTTAAGCATTTTGGCAAGGTAAGGTGCGCTTCTGAGGCTGAACTTCTCTGCCTTGAACATATCCTGTTCCTGCATATATTTTTCTCTTGCTTTTATTCTATCATAAGGTAAATTGAGCAGTTTCTGCGTCTTACCCAAGTTTCAGAATTAAACATGCAAGACAGGACGAGAATTCTCATTCCTTCTGTTTGCTTCTGGCTTTCAGCAGGTTTTGACTCGCTTGGTTTTGACTTTTGGTCATTGAAGCAGCAATGACCAAATGATCCTTGGCCATTACCAGGAACTAAAAATCGCTTGTTTGATGTCACTAGATTTCTGGACCAACTAGAACAATCCTCAAGTTTATATTTTGGACTTGAAATTCTGTATGAAAGCCAGAAGCTTTATTTTGTAGTTTCAGTAATGCATGTAACTTGGGCTTAGAGCCATATGGGACAAAACCAGCTACCAGGTTGAGCTGTTTCCCTTCTTTGGTGCGTAGTCTTCCGGATGGGTAGTACAGAGTATGGAGCTGAGACAACTTAGTTAGATCTGACCGCTATGAAGTACAGTGTCTGAAGCTTTGAGCTAGGCCTTTAGTCCACTGAGATTCTGGTTTCACAGTGAAATTATTAGCACCAGGTTTGTTTCTTCTGTTATTTACTCCCGTTGGATCATATACTTGCACAAAACTGATCTACAGAGGTCACCTTGCAGGAGCTGGATGTCACATGGTACTTGCTACAATGCAGTAGGGTTAAAAAATATCAGATGGGAAACAATTTCTGGCTGCCACTATTCCTCTACTAGGACTTCACCTTTGCTTGGCATCAGTACACCGTATTCCTCTCTTGTTGACTCTGCTCCAAATCAGCTACGCTCAACTCAAAGGGGAAGTCTGCTGGGAGAGAGTAGCTACCAAAACTACTTCAGCAGTTCATAGCTGTTACTTTTATGGCAGAGACAATAATAGTGGGAGGAGGAGAAGCTGTTAATTGCCTGAGGAGGTGCAGATATTAAAGGAAGTGTGTTATATTAATTTATTGCTGTATCTTTCCTGAGATTGACGTTTTGGTCAACAATGGTGGACGTTCCCAACGCTCTCTGTTTGTGGATACAAACCTGGATGTTTTCAGTGCCATAATGGAACTTAACTACCTAGGTACAATCTCTTTAACAAAATATGTCCTGAATCACATGATCCAAAGGAAAAAAGGAAAGATTGTTACTGTGAGCAGTGTGATGGGTATCATGGGAGCTCCTCTTGCCTCTGGGTACTGTGCCAGCAAGCATGCTCTGCAGGTAAGTTACATTTCTGGAAACTAATTGTGTCTTGTTATGCAATAAACCAGCTTTGTTTTAGTGCTGTAGCATCTGTTCCTTGGGAGGACTTTTATTCTGTGCAGAAAATGGCAGTCTCACCTGAAATTGCACAGAGCGTATGTAACTTAGGTTCTGAAAGTGCTTTAGAATTAATTTGCTCTGAAACTTAGTGGTTCTCTGGCCTGGAAGAACTAGGGGAGGGTGGATTTTTTTTCCTCTGACTTCTAATTTTGCTGCCTCTAAATTGCCCTTGAGTTGGACTTCAGGACCTTCCTCAGCTAACAATACACTAGAAATTCCTCACTAACTATTTTCTTCTCAAAACAAAAGGTGAGTCTAAGGGAACTTGACTTATTGTAAGAACTGGATAGCTGTATGTCCCTGGCACGATGCTCCTATCAGAAAGCAGAAAGACAAAATAGAGAATATTTGGGAGGGAAAAAAAGCCCTTAAACACAGCTTTTATGCAGATGAAATCCCATTGAGTAACACTGGGGTTGCATAGAAATATGCTGTTCTTAAACATACAATATGTTTATAATAGTATATCTTCTGGCAAATGGGCAGCTTATGTTTTAGAGCAAGAATAACTGTACAGTAAACAAATAAGCCAAAAACGTTTGTGGTGGTGATCTGTCAATTATGTCAAAACTTATTCCATAATAAATATATCAAGCCTTTTGAACTGAACAATGTTTGATATGAAAGGTGGAGCGACCATACAGAAGCTTACAGCAGTTTTTCTGAGCTGAGTGTACAGGTGTGCATAACCCAGAGGAGGGGGTTGCTCCTGTGCTCCTTCTGACTTAGTTCCACCGCTTACCCACAGCTTGGATTCCCTTCTGCCTCTTCTCATCCGATCCACTGTGAGCAAATATTCAAATGGTGCTGTGCTGGGAGGAGTCCCTGCTTATGTGAAGTGGAACATGGTGGGAGAACAGTGTGAATCATGCCTGAGACTCCTGCCCTTTCCCCCTGCCCTCTTTTTTGGGGGATTACGATTTCTGTGAGTTCTGGAAAACTAAGTGAGGGTCGACTTGACCAAGGAGAACTCTACTGCACTTCAAGTGACTGATTTTTAACTTGTGGGGGAAACATAGCAAAAACTGGGAATTGCAAGAAACATTGCTTGAATCCTATAGTGAGATATCTCAGGGTTCCAGTGTGGGTTTATTGCACTGACCAAAATGCAACTGCAATCTTAATTAGGCCTGACCAGTATTTAGTGAAACTCCCATGTGAAACAAGATCACTTTGCCTCTGGCCTCAGATTCTGATTAAGAAGTACCTAAATCAGAAGGTTATTCTGGTGCACATAGAAGCCCTAATGGTGTCCCCCTAATCCAGTTAGGGAGGAATAATTGCTAGTGAGAATTTCAGACTAGAGGAGACTTCTAGGAGAGTAAGGTGAGAATAGTGAGTGGTAAAGCAGATTTAACAAGAGAAATGAGAATGCCTAATCTAGACTAGGAAAATTGGAAAGAATCTTCCCAATAGTTCTGAGTTGTACAGTGGTTTGAAGACCTGGCAGCTCAGAGTATCTCATGAGGGAGGACCTGTTACTGTCTGCATAACATCTAATTTTGAATACTACTTAGAATTATTGTAAAAACAGTTTCACTCATGCAGGAAAAACATGAAAGAGCTCAGAAAAGTATCTTGGGGAGGAAAAAAGATTGCCTATATCATTGCAGAATCATTTGTTTAAGTAATTAAATTTAGACATGTTTGTCTTTTTGCCACTGTTTGAACTCCACATTGACTAATGTACGTTTCGATTTCAGAAAGCTAAACTGTAGCTGGGCTCAGTGATTTAAAAAAAAAAAACCTGGCAGCTTATTACTCCCTGCTCAATTTAAGGACATAAACAGAGTGAATAACTTTGCTTAATGTATTGAGTCATTATTTTCTTGACAACTTAACTAATGACAACAAAAAAGTAACAAGTGGCTGGCACTGCAAAGCCATTTTGCAGCCTAAGTTGCAAAGTCTAGACATCTGAAAGGATAAGTGTAAGTACAGTGATAGGTCTCTGCTAATAAAAATTTGTGTTAGTAATGGGGAGAGAAGATCTGTTGCTCCTCCTTTAGATGAAGGTGATGGAACTGTCTGTTAAGAGGCCAGCCTTTGATTTAGTTCTAGGATTTCGATTAGAAAAGCACAAAGCAGAAGCATGGACTCCATTTATTTCCTTTATTAAGTAGTCTTTCAGTTGAACTACCTTTTTTAGGTGTGGTGTAATTGGTCTAAGCTTGGTTAATTGTAGAGCACAAGGAATTCACAAGTTGCTGCACAAATTCTCTGAAGATAACTTAATTGTGTTAAGACTGAGAATGTGGAAGAGGAGGCTTAAGAAATAGGTCAGTAAAATTTCTATATTATGTAAAAATAAACTAAAAAAGATGTTAAGCAGTTGAGTTATTTTTTACCTCTGTCCAATAACAAGGCCAGATTCCAAACCTCCCTTGTTTCTTTCACAGCTGATTCCTTATTCTGTAAGTACTAATTTCGGTTGTGAAAACATGTGTCTTGCAAATGCAGATCTCTAAACCAGACTGAGTCTTTTGAAAAGGTCAGCCTAGAGTTGTGGCTAGAGATGGACAGGAACCCTCTTCCTCCCTCCCCCCCC